TGAAGAGACCTAAACAGGTGGAAATTTGATGGTCCAAAGTCAGGACTATAGGGCGGATGCATTAACACCTCCCAGCCAAACTCTCTTAACTTAATGAAAAACCACCCTCCTTCTATTGATTAATTCTAGCCGCTTTCTCTCAACTTCTAGCTTTAATCTCATCAGTTGTTTGCAGTAGAGTTCAAAATCGATGGTCCTGCCTGGGATCATCGATTTTTTTTTGTGCTACTCTCACAGAAACTGCACTAGGTCCATAAACGTCACAAATTGTTTTCTTCCTCCATTTTACCTTCCTTCTATTTCCGTTCCATTTTACCATTTTAGAATAAAATTATAAAATGTACTTTAGTTCTTTATTAGATTTACTCATTTTGACAGTAAGAAAAACAAATTATTTTAAGGATCGCAATGCATGGAATAGATAGCCTTCGCTTTGTTCTATAAAGACTAATTATATGTTCAACCTATGTCCTACAGACTTTGAAAGTTGTATTTATTATTGTGATAATACATATTATTTTGGTAATGACATGATTTATGTAAATGTCATTACTTATGATAAAAAGCTGGTAAGTTTCTTTCGCTTGTTCTTCTTGTCAGCTAAAAGACGTCCTGAACAAGTGGTAGGGGAAAAAAAATTTTTTGGACGATTCAAGTGCTTGTAATAGCCTACTTGAATAAAGATATTTTCATTTCATTTCATTTCAAATGAAAAACACACATTTTTCCGAATTTGAATTCGAAATCTTTATCATATTAAAACTTTTTAATGATACTGAAACCACCCATATAGAAATGGTATAGCCAGAAAGATTTTATCACAACTTTATGTATACTATATGCGAAAAGACTTTTTCTCTAACCTAATAGTTATCATGTATAGAAAATATTTTATTGATATTATTCTCAGTTAGACGCAATCGTTTAGCTGTTTTAGAAAGGCCAGCTACAGAGAATACACGATCGCTAGTGAGGTTGTAGCGGGACAGCTAGAGTAGACAAAAAAGGGTAAATATTGAATTTATGATTTCTGCCAACTCCATCTTGTAAACGGATGCTATATTGATTGTGCAAGATTTCGTTGTTGACAGCTGAAATTAAAGAAGAAAGATTCGATTGCTTATTTGTTTGCATCTGATCATTGAGTTTACTTTTGTATTCATTAAAATTTTACTAGATATGGAAATATGGATGGAATACGGAACGGAATTTACACGTACCGCAGAGAATGCACTACGTTGCTTATCCCATCTCGCGCCGTTTACGCCGATGTTTCTAACCGGTCAGCGGCGGCGTGTTATGATCGGCGGCGTCGGTCATCGGCGCGGCGCGGCGCACACGTCTAGTTAGCGATACGTATCGTTGTCTTTCAACGATCATGTAAATACTAAGGTTTATTGTCCGTTTTTTCGTCTACTCTAGAAACAGACAATGCAATGTGTCAAAAAGCTCTGATTAGATAATTTGGATTTAGTTTTAAATATATTAAAATTAACTTTGTACATAATAAGACGGCAACATCATTATCCTAATTTTATAGTAATTATGTATGTATATACATCATAAAGTAATTAATGATTTAATGAATTTCCTTGTTCCAAACAATAAAACATTTGCTATAGAATAACTTGTTTTTAGAAGCTAATTTATTGATAATTCTTGTAGACACAAGTAGAATGGAAATTCATCCCACAAAGGAATAGATTTGACGAAGAACGAAGAGTGAACGATTTCGGAGAAATGAGATGGGCAGAGTAGACGATTAGAGGAGGAACAAAGAGTTTTGGTTTGAAAGGTACATAAGTACTGTTAAGATAAGAAAGAATGTTTGGAGATTTCAGCAGAGAGGATAACGTAGTTAAAGCACGCATACTTCTTCGCTTCCGGATGGACGTCCATTTTGAATTTGATCAAATTCATTGACACATGATCAAATTTTCTAAGAATTAAAACGGATAGAATCTTCGGTCTCTAGAATCCAGTTAAGCCAGTGAAAAACTGACCATCATCATACATTGCCCAAAATCTTTAGATCTACCAGAAAATGAGATAGAAACAATTTCTGAAGTACGCAAAGATATAAAAACAGCACAGTAAACCACGGATCGACTTCAATATGCTGTTGAGAGAATAAAAGCTGCTGGTGTGGAACTGAAAATTACCTGTTTTTCTAATGCCCAACTTTGCCTTGTTGCTTTAAGGGTTAGCAACGTCTCTGGGCTTTATATTTTGGCACCCGAATAAAAAAACACCAATAAAGTTTATAAATTTCATCTTAAATATTATTGTTAATCATATATACCGTTGGCATCGTCAGCAGACTGTAGAATTTTGGTACAAAAAGAATTCTACCTTTACAGGTTCATTAAGTTATAACCTACTCAATCCACAACATACAATTTAAGCTTACAAAATCTTTGGTATGAGACAACACGAATGAAGATGCGGGCACCAGCTAGTGGCAAATAATATAACGGTGTAATTTATCTTTACAAGTATTTTGGCCAAACATAACCTCAGTAAAAAGTAATACGACCAAATGAAACAATAACAAAAACTTAGTATAACCCAACCTTTCATCTTATTTGAGGTTGTTCAAGATATTTATTGAGCAACACATTATTTGAATAGTTGCCTCTATAGAATAAAATTTATGAATTTCGTTGGGATCGCCAGTTTAAAGCTGCTTTCTTTATGCAGATGATACCTACCATAGTGCTTACATAGAATCCATTCAATCTGCAAATGAAGCGATAGTCATGGAGCAAGATTATGAGTGATGAAAGGCTTAAAATTCAACGTGAATAACACATAAGATATTAAACCAATGTACTACTTTGAGAATAGAACTATTCACACCGTCATTAACTGGTCGTCCTCTTTTAATTTTAAATAAGAGTGAAGTTATACTTCACGGAATTCTCACTGTAAACAAATCTATTTCGTGATTATCCTTTACCAAACGAGGCAATTTGTCTATATAATTTAAAAAGAAGCATTGAGCACTGTGAAACACCCATGATAGGTGTTGATCTATCGATTCAGGGGATTTCTTGTCACCGATATGAACCTCCTACAAAGCCACTGAACTAAGAGACAGCAAAATCTAACTAGTTATCTCTAAATTCATAATATGAAGATTCGTTATATATTTCATGAACACCATAATTGACAGCTTTAAGTACGTCACAGAAAACACCTAAAACGTTGTGTGAATTCTCCCAGGCATCAACAATTTGTTCTAAGATTCTGATATTCATACCGATACTGAAGTTATGCATCCATGTGAGGTGAACCGTAGCTGGTTTTATCATATAGGCCAGTTACACTAACCTGCCCTTTTCAGAATGGGATTGCCCAGACCCAGAGTCCTGATTAGATATTCTAGAGAATCACCCGTTTCTTTGAATGTCGAGCTTGTCCTCAACTCTGTGCTTAGAGTTAAACTGAATTGTAAAATTTACCGTAAAACTTTTACCACACTTACGTCACAATAATCAATGCTGATTACCGAATTATTCACATCTAATTTTTTAATGCCAACCTCAGTTAGGAATAAAATTAAGTAACATTTTGGAGCGATTTTCAATTATTACGGTAACCATACGCCACAGGTTTGCGTCCGTGATGCGGAAAGTAGATTTAAAAAAAATATAGTTCTCTAATTATAAAACCTTCTGTTGATAACCTTCTGTTGATAGCTAAAACGACTTCACAAATTTTATTTCAATAAATTTACCAGTATCTTAAGAAAGTCAAAGAACGACGTCTTACGAAATAGCGGTGCGATCGTATCAGTCACGTTCGAAAACTTGTCACGGCTTTTATAATAGGGTGTTATACTCTGATTGCAAAAGTACTTACTTGGTACTTGTAAGTGTTTATAATCGACAACAAAAATATTCAGAAAAATTAAAAACGTTTTCTTTTCTTAAAATTAAATCATAATTCCACTTTTTTACACCCATAAAAACACCGTCTGCCATATTCATGACGATATTCTGTTATGTACAGATTGAAATATCAATAATAATAATTAAATAACAGTAATGTACAAACAGATTAAATTATTTTTAACAATCAACCAATTTAACAAATGTAATGTAGGGAACTATGTGTTTATTAATGTTTCAATTTTATGTTCATATAAATTTGCATTATATATTTTTTTTTATATTTGTATTTTTGTTTTTTTTTTCTTCTCTTATATATTATCATTGTGTTCATGTAGGTGTGGTCAATAAACTTTATTTCTTTCTTCATTTCAAAGCAAATTTCAATGATTCTGCAAATTCGTGCTTTACGTTTCACTATCGAAACTACCCAATCCACTATCAAAATTACCAAGTATGCTTAAAATTGTATTATTTTGGTTGCAATACAACTATAGTCGATTGAGTATCGTTTAAAATTGTGTACTAGTCCGGAACACTGTACATTTACCTTACAGAAAAATCTTCGTTTTTCATTATCAATAATTGTATGGCTACGCCTGTTGCGTACTGCAATAGTTTGCAAACCAATAAAGGATATCTAGAGGTATTTTTGTATCAAATTACCGCGAAATTTATTCAGTCGTTTTTCCATGAAAATGTCAAAAATAATATCTATACAATTATTAAATATAATAATTTATATTTTAGTATAAACACCTAAATAATTTTTAATATTATATTTCTCATAATAAAAATATTGGGTAAAAAAAAAAGTGCAACTTGGTTTTGATCTGCGGCACAATGAGTACCTAGTGACCAGCACATAGGACATTGCGCCACACCAAACATTAGTAAAGTCTGTGAAAAACCTGTACATTATTATTTAGTACATTGTTACCATAATTTTCAAATTCATTCAATAGTAACTAATTCCCTTTTTTATATCTGTTTTATAAAGTAATACCTATTTATTGAACTATTTTATTTAGACAATATGATTGATTAGGAATTATTTTTTACTAGAGTAACGGTCTACGGGATGGTTTTTGCATGAAAATGTCAAACTTTTGCAAACACATACTTTTATGGAAATATTTACCTATTGTCAATTTTTATGTTATATATTTTTACAGCAATTAAATTTATCAACTAGACTAAATAATTAAATAATACTTAATTACTGTATAAAATAATATTCAAAATTATTTTAACGAATTATTAATGATTAACATATACCTATAAAAAAATGAGAGAGGAAAATATATTAGGAAAAAGAAGATAAAAGTAAAACAAAAATGCTTCTTTGATGGGATTGGAACACGAACATGTATTTTATTGGAACTATTTCATCAATATCGGAGCTTTTGTATGAAAATGTCAGTCTGACTTTCGCCTACGTCATACTAAAGAAATATTTATTTTCACATTTTATACTGTTTAATAATAATAAAAAAAAGTTGCTTTTTAAAATTATGGCAGAAAAAAAATGAAAATTAGAATAAAATAATAAAAAAACGACTTGAAAAAATGCGAGCTCTAGTGGGATTAGAACCTACAACTTCGAGACACTCGGGTCCCTACCCTAGTACATTACACCAAAGATATCGTTAAAATGAGAGCGAAATTAAAATACTTATTTTAAATGTTCTTTTTTTTACAATTTTAGCGATCTCTGTACGTCAGAACGCTGCACAAAGCAACATAGGTCCATCTAGCAACACGCCTCAGCGTGAACTAAGTTAGTGTGCGTTATTCTATAGCCTTCCCTGTCAATTGCAGTAGGAGTGACAGAAATGTCAATACTTTAAAGTTGCTTGAAAAAAATGACCATATGTGCCATATCACAAAATAAATTATATTAATTATTATAATAACATTATCAAAAATTGGGAATAACCAACTTTTATATCAACCTTTGATACATATTTGTACTCAATATCATTACTCTAATGTATCACATAATTGAGAAACGTGCCTTTCGCAATATTTTTAGATGCTACTTTGGAATTATTTTCTATCGAGTGAAGTTAATACAATCATGTTTCGGTTTCAACCACAAGATCAGAAATACGATCAAGTATAACCACAAATTTTTGGATTGCCATAGGTTTCCCGTGAATTAGTACAATCCTAGATCAATTTTATCGATTTGGCACTATTCAGCGTCTTAATACAAATATCGCCCGGATTACAAAACGTCATGGGTTCGAATCCCATCTCAGGGTGCCAGGGACCAAGTGGTTTTTTTTTTTACGTTAACTTAAGCGCAAGCGATATTGACCTTATGGGTGAAAGAGCGGATCTGTCCGCCATTGTACATTGGGAAATCTTAGCTTTAGGTTAGGTTTTTTTTTTTTTTAAACTTGACTTGGGACTGATTGGGCAGGATAATGAAGGATGATGATGATGAGTGATGAATACTGATTGTGGTACCCCCATAGGCAAGAGGGGGTACGCTCGGAATGTGTGTCCTCCCCGGCAAGTGGAGGGAGCACACGGATACGTCGGCTACTATAGAATGGATTTAGATCCCCTTTTGAGGGGGGATCATACTATTGCTTTTCCCTGGAAGAGGGCAAATTGATCCCTGGAAGAGGGTTGATGAGTGATGAAATGTTGGTGTGTAGCTGTATAGTGTATAGTGTATGATGATGAGTGAGGTGAGTTGATGAGGGGAGAAGGGTGGGGCCGAGGAGCGTCTCGTTGAACCAGCGGCGGTCCTCCTCCCATAGAGGTAGAGAGAAAGAAAGGGGATAGCTTGTGAAAAAAGAGGAAACGGAGGTCGAAGAATGGTGAAAGAAGAAAGTGAGGATGAGATGAGGATAGAACCCCCGTTTCCGAGATAGAAATGAGTGATGATGAAGATGAAGAATGAGTGTGTGTGTATGTGTTAGTAGAGTGTAAGTGTGTGTGTGTGTGTGTGTGTGTGTGTGCAGGCGCTGGGTATGGGGTCCGCCCTGCCGCCCCGCGACCACGCCCGGGATGAGAAGAGTTGAGCGCGATCGCGGGGCGCCGGGGCGGTCCCAGCGCCCGAGTGTGTGTCCGGTGCCGTGGTCGCAAGCTTGTGCTTTTCAGGCCGACCCCCCACCCCGCGGTCACTTCCACCAAGGTGGCCGCTGCCGCGGGACGGGAGGGCGGCCCGGCGACCACGCACCTGGAAGTTCGCGGAGGTCTGAGTGATACTTCCGCGACATGAAGTGTCGCGACCAGCCTCTCATATTGCTATGGATATATGCATATATAAAAATAAATAGAAAGAAAGAGAAAGAAGGAAGAAAAGAAAGAAGAGAGAAGAGAAGAGAAATTCCGTTCTCTCCACATCCATCCCTCCCAATAGAAAAGTGGGAGAGGAGGGAGGGAGGCCGGAAGTAGGATGCCCTGTAAACCGAGCCTTTGTGAGCACTCCGTATTAATTCTGGAAATACATTTGAGAACACAAGCAAATAATGTGATGTATTAATACATGTTGCATAATGCAAGTTTGCATAGGTCTTAACTCAATAGTACATTGAAAATCCAGGTAAGCTGGTTAAAATACAGAGTGCAGTAAGATGTTTGTAAAATTGGTAAAAAGTATGATATAAAATAAACTTGGTTGTATAGTAATGGAGAAGAGTATATGGTGGGTGTATAAAATTTTTTTTTTTTTTTTCCTGCCACTAATAATAATACTAGACCTAATGATTATATACAATGAGTTAATTACACGAAGTATTTACAAAGTATTTACATGATTGATTATGATATATGACTATCCTCACATCTTAATCAAACAATGATTATATAAAGAGGGCTTTACATAACTGGTTATAACTGGTTAAAGTGTTTTTAATATTAGGGTTACATAATTGATTATATACAAGGGTTTTGCGCAATTGGTTATAACTGGTTATGTATTGTTTAAAAGTTGGGTTGCATAATTGCCTATGTACAAAGAGTTTTGCGCCACTGGTTATAAATGGTTATAAGATATTTTAAGATTGAGTTACATAATTGATTGATTATACAGGAATAATTTAAAACCACTGCGAAGATTTTGTGAAAATAAACTTTAAGTAATTTAAACAAACACGTGTTTTTTATTTTGATATGTTCTAATACTAAAAAATAAAGTTATCGCTTATCAAAGATCAAGATTTTAAAACTTAATTTACGGACACCGCGCGCCGTGCGTCAGCTGAGCGCTCGCTCGACGCCGGCCGTAGGCATGTACTCGTAGGTACCTATCTATAGTCTGTCTATAAAGTCATGAAAAGAATGTTTGAGGAACTAACGCTAGATACAAGTATGACAACACTGAATCAAAGTACAGCGACTGTCAAAGACTTTATTATATGACTCGATTTTCTGTATTTTTTATTTGTTTTCATTAAACTGCAATCTACTTCTTCTTAACTCCGAAGGAAAGTGTTAAAAATGAAGAAAACTAATCGGAGTGGAGCTCGGGATATTATTTTTAAAGTTTTTCAGCGATGTTTATTGGAACAAGAAGCTGGACAAATTTTATCAAACTTGGAGGATGTTTATGCTCGAACGGCAGTTATGACTGGTATGTGATCGTGTTACTCATTGTGTTTTATTTACCAGAAGTTTCAAATTCACTAAATATATGAATTTAAGTCTAAAATAAATATTGTTTACATTACGCATTTATAGGTTAGAATGAAAATGTTAGAAAGCTATATTGTAGTGCGACCCGAACTTTTAATACTTTTGAGTGGTCAAATTTACCACTGACTTTTAATCTGAATAAAAAAGGTACCTGTTAGGAATGTACAATTTCTACCTACGTACGCCAATAAAAAGTTGTGCTTTATATCACTAAACTTATAGCACTAATTTAGGTCATTATGGGGATTGCATTCTTCCTGCCAAATATATTACATTTTTAAAACTTACTTTCAGGAAAATCAGAGAGTACAGTGAGGCGTATTGTAGATGAAGGCTATCAAAATGGTGGCAAATTTGAAACCCCTGGAAAACATAGATCAGGTCGTCCTAAGAAAGAAATGGATAACTTCAACATTTGTGCACTTCGACAAAAGATTCAGTTCTTTTACTCTGTGAAAAAAGAGGTACCTACATTAAGAAAACTTCAGTTGATTGCTAAAACCGATCTGGATTTTGATTGTAGCCTAGAAGTAATGCGTAAAATTCTGATATCGATTGGGTTTTCTTACAAGAAGTGTCAAAATAACAGAAAGGCTTTAATCGAACAAGCACACATTGCAGCAAAACGAGAAGACTACTTGGCAATTATAAAAAAAAATAGAGATTTGCCAGAAGAATTGCGAAAAGATATAATTTATCTTGATGAGAGCTACATACATTCTTCATATAAGGTATTTTTTTCTGTTTTTGTTCATCTTCATTTAAATAGAATGTATTTCTGTATAAATAAGTGCCATTTCTATTCACCAGGTTCGAAAATGTTGGCAATCATTAAATGTGGAAGGTGTTACAGAAAATATTTCTAAAGGAAAGCGTTTTATAATTGTCCATGCTGGAAGTGAAAAGGGATTTGTGCCCAATTGTCTACTTACATTTAGTGGACAAAACAAGCTTGAGGACTATCATTCTGAGATGAATGCCCACAATTTCACTAAGTGGATCACGGAGAAGCTTATCCCGAACCTGCATGAGCCATCGATCATTGTCATGGACAATGCCCCTTACCACTCCGTCGTCAAAAATAAAGTGCCTACCTCAAAATCTCGCGTAGATGAAATAAAACTTTGGCTTTTGGAAAATGGTATTGACTTTGATCCTACACTTAGGAAGCCAAACTTACTGAATTTGGTAAAAAAATACAAACCACGGCCCATCTACATTATTGACGAACTTTTGGAAGAAAATGGGCATACAGTGGTACGGCTTCCGCCGTATCACTGCGATTTAAATCCCATAGAGCTCATTTGGGCTCAAGTTAAACAAAAAGTAGCACAACACAATGTTGGATCACGCGATGTGAAGCGACTTACTGAAGAGGCCTTCAACAGTATTACACCTGAAATATGGAAGAACTGTTGCAGTCATGTTGCAAATATTGAAAAAGAATATTATGAACGAGGAAGAACCCTTTATCAAGATATAGATGACTTAGTCATTCGCCTTGGCGAAGATAGCAGCACCACCGATAGTAGTAGCGAAGACGTTGATGATGATGCAGCCGATAATGAAAATACTTTTTTGAACGTAGAGTACTTGGAATCTGATAGTGAAAATGATACTTAATATTTAAGATTTTAATTTGAATATCTTAATAAATAAAAAAACCATTAAAAAAATAAAAAATAAATTTTAAACTTATTTTTATTTTACATTTGTTTTTATTTTTTTACTTTTATTCACTCATTTTATTTGAACGGCAGTTAGCATTAATTTGCCATAGAAATATAGTTAGTTTCATAGAGAAATGGGTAAAATGCATGAAGCTAAAATGTAATCATGTTCAACGATTACATTTAGGAATATTCAGATCAGGGCTGAAGATTGTTGTAATCTTTTTCGATTATTTATTTATTACACACGAATCATATATTTATCAGAAATTATGATTACCATATTGTAATTTTGAATGTAGAATAATCTTGTATGTCTACGAAATATAAGTCTTTTCTTTTTCTGTGGAAATTAAAGGCGTCCACAAGTAAAAAAATATATCCGCTTTATTTTACTATAAATAAAGAATATCCTACTATCAAACTCATTTGTCTCACTACACAGGGTTGCTACGTGCACGATCGTAGCGCCCTCAATTTTTTTCATGACTTTATAGACAGACTGTACACGGGTCACTGGCCGCTCATTTTGTTAGATTCGAACTAGATTTTATGCCATGATCTGAGGTGATTTCTAAGAGTAATTCCAATTTTCCCTTCATACTTTTATGGTTAAGGCCATCACAATGCAAAAAAATAAGAGAGAAACAAATTCGTTACCTAGAAAAAAATATTAACGTTATGCCGAAGTTACATAGGTACTTCTGCGTTAAGGCGTATTTAAAAAAATTAGAATCAACTACGTATTTACAATAATGTTGGATCAAAACAAATACCTAACTAATTACTTACCATGTATTTTAACATTTGTTCAAAATGAAGTCCACGTCTGTCCAGACATAAACGTGCACATTTCATTAAATTGTCATTTAATTTGTTTAAAACACTAGTGTCACTTTTCACTTCACTAAAAGCGTTATTATTTTTTATTGTTAGGTCTTCTAGACTTTGTGCCTCCTCAACATCTCGGCGTTTGACTTCTTCCCATAAGAAAGAGTCCCTCACGTGTGAACAATGCCTCATCCGTCCACAAGATGTTTGCATCGCGGTGATGTAGAAGCCACTCACATAAGGCTCAACGTGGTACTGGGTCTAGGTCATGGAACTGTTGAACCGACTGAAAGTGGTACGGATGGAGTCCGGCTGTTTTTAGCAGCTTCAATACCGCAGGCTGGCTCACACCAAAGAGACATGCCGCATCGTGGGTACTGACTCTGGGACTTCGTCTGTTAAAATGGATCGAAGCATTAGGGACCGCGGGGTTACGGATCCCAAAGGCCCGCATACGAGATATGCTCTTCGTCGCATACTTTCTCCGAATTGCGCTTATGTAGGTTTTCACCACTTAGAAGATAAACTCGTAACATCTCGTAAAACTCACGACGGCGGGCGCGTCGCGTGCGCGGGAACGCGAGGGCACGTCACATCGGCGCGTGCGTATGAGTCTCACTGCCGCGCGCGTCGCTCGGTCCCAGCGGGGCGGTGGGGGCTGTTACGGGGGGCTACCGTTCGCGGCGGGGATGCACGGTGGTATACGCAAGAGAAGACGTTTTCATTGAAGTTTTATTTTAAAAAATGTGTCCATATTCTACCGTTTCGATAGGGATAAAAATATTTAAAAAAAATTTTTTAACTAATTATGGAAAAGTGTTCTATTACTGATACTGAACCACCAAAAAAAATTTTTGCACTGGAAAAAAAATATTCCTGTATACAAAGGGTTTTGCGCAATTGTGTATAACTAAAGCTATGATGAACTAAAACTAACACGAAAATCTATCTACAATACCTATAAAGTGTTTAACATTAGGGTTACTTAATTGGATATAAATAAGGGTTTTGCGCAATTGATTATAACTGGTTATAAAGTGTTTCTAAAGTTGGGTTACATGATTGATTATATGCAAGGGTTTTGCGCAACTGATTATAACTAAAGCTATGATGAACTAAAGCTAACACGAAAATCTATTTACAATACCTATAAAGTGTTTATCATTAGGGTTACTTAATTGGTTATAAACAAGGATTTTGCGCAATTGATTATGACTGGTTATAAAGTGTTTTTAAAATTGGGTTACATGATTGATTATATACAAGGGTTTAGCGCAATTGATTATGACTGGTTATAAAATGTTTAAGGTTGAGTTACATAATTGATTATATACAGAGGGTTTTGCGCCATTGATTCTTAAAGTTGGGTTACATAATTGATTATATACAAGGATTTTGCACAACTGATTATAACTGGTTATAAAATGTTTAAGGTTGAGTTACATAATTGATTATATACAGAGTTTTGCGCCATTGGTTTTCGTATTAATATCTTACATTGTCTTTTCATAGTTGAAGAAGTAAGTTGGTTATGTTAAGGGAAGCTAACAATGTTAACTTAGCCACCCGGCCAGCCCGATGGTTGAAATGTGTTATGCACTAAAACTTTGATAGCTAAAGCTAAGACAATGATCTCTTTACAATACCTAGAAAGTGTTTAATATTAGAGTTGCTTAATTGATTATAAACAAGAATTTTGCGCAACTGATTATGACTGGTAATAAAGTGTTTTAAATTTGGGTTACATGATTGATTACAAAATGTCTTGTCTAGGTGATTATTAAAATTTATGACCATGATATACCAACTGGATATGGAAAGTTTTACACAATTATTTATTTATTTGTTTATAGATTACTAAAATTAATAAGCACTAGTTAGTATATGAAATGAAGGGAGCGCAGAAGGCGCGTCCAACAAATCTCCAAACCTCATCGCCCGCAGGGTCGCAGCCCAGTCCAGGGAGTTCGTGTTCCACGTCCAGGGGCAGCACGCACCTCCGCCATTCCCGCCAAAACCAAGGCACAGCCACCGAAACCTCGGTTCAGCGGGCCCGCGAGAGCGGGAAAGGGAAGCAGTACTCGCAACATAGGAGCGGCCCACCCCAAAAAGCCACATCCAGGAGCAATACGCACCTCCGCTATTCCCGCCGTACAGCACAGCCACCGGGGAACCTCGCATCAGCGGGCCCAGCGGGCTCGCGAAGGCAGGAGGCAGGGCAGCGGTGCACGCAGCCAAGGAGCGGCCCAGGAAGTCCCCGGTCCGGACTGCGGTCGAGGGGGTCAAGGAGGTTTGGGGTTGGAGCGTCGCTCTTTGTACACCGATGTTCAGATGGTAACTCGGTGGTTATGTCACTCCTTATCTACTGATATTTACTGGTTAAGAATATGTCTATTGCTATTCCGTTACTTTCCTTTGTGTGTTAATCCAGTAGGTTTTTTTTTTGTGTAGTTCCAGCAGGTACGTGTTTCCTATTTTCGTGTATTTTGCGTCATTGGCGCGAACAATTCTGTACATGTTTCTAAAACAATTTCTTCAGGATCTTAATAACAGTCAACAGTTGGCGCGCAGTTCCCAACAGTTCTGATCCTAACCACGCGTCGATGTTAGGATAAGAAAATTTTCAAGCTCGCGTAGGGTCCCCCGCTGCCTATGTGGTCAGCAGTCCTATCATTCACTTAAAATCACTCGAAATCACATAAACAGTTAAAGTACCTGAACATTGAGCGGGACCGGAGCCCTACGTGCCGCCTGAGTTGAGCACATTAGTCGCACTGGTTGTCTTCTCCCGTAGGGTCACTAAGTCTCTTGCATTGGGGTCCCCATATAAGTCCCCAAACACTCGCATAAAGTCACTGTCTTGATGTAGAAAGTCCGGTCTTCAAGCACATAAAGAGGAGAGCCCTATATTTAGTTCAGTACACTGATTTACGCAGTTGCACCGATATTGCGCAGTTGATTGTTCCGCCATTTTGTGGTTCACTGCCGCCGTCGGGATCATTATTTGGTTAAAACAGCTAAAATACTCGAAAAAATTTGCACTTTTCATTGTGTTCCGATGCACTGAATGATTATGAAACGGGATTAATAAGAAACAATTGGATAAATTAACTTTGGACAGGCAATTGGATTTAAATATGCGGAGCGACCGAGGAACGCGCCCACCTCGACCGACGGCCAACGGGCAAAAGGCGGTTTTTTTTTTTTTCTTAACTTCACTTGTGTCTAATTGGGCAGGATGATGAGGGATGATGATGGTGATTACTGTTTTGGTACCCCTATAGGCAAGAGGGGTACCTTCAAATGTGTGTCCCCCCGGCAAGTGGGGGGAGCACACGGATACGTCGGCAAGTAAAAAGGGGCTTTAGATCCCCTTTTGAGGGGGGATCAGGCTATTGCATTTCCCTGGAAGAGGGCAAAAACTCCCTGGAAGAGGGTCGATGGATGATGAGGTGTGGGTGTGTAGCTGTGTAGTGTAAAGTGTATGATGGTGAGTAGGATGAGTTAATGAGGGGAGAAGGGTGGGGCCGAGGAGCGTCTAGTTGAACCAGCGGCAGTCCGCCTCCTCCCATAGAGGTAGAGAGAAAGAAAGGGGATAGCTTGTGAAGAAAGAGGAAACGGAGGTCGAAGAATGAGGAAAGAAGAGGGTGAGGGTGAGGTGAGGATAGAACCCCCGTTTCCGAGATAGAAATGAATGATGATGAAGATGAAGAGTGAGTGTGTGTGTAAGTGTTAGTAGAGTGTGCGTGTGTGTGTGTGTGTGTGTGTGTGGGCACTGGGTATGGGGTCCGCCCCGCCGCGCCGCGACCGCACCCGATGAGAAGAAGGGTTGAGCGCGATCGCGGGGCGCCGGGGCGGTCCCAGCGCCCAAATGTGTGTCCGGCGCCGTGATCGCAAGCCTATGCTTTCAGGCCGGCACCTCCATCCAGCGGTCACTTCCGCCAAAGTGGCCGCGGCCGCTGGGTAGGGGGCCGGCCCGGCAACCACGCGCCTGAAATTCGCGGGAGTCAATGTGACTCTCCCGCGACATGATGTGTCGCAACCTGTGTCCTATATTGCTATAAAAGACGGTCACGAAGCTCGGTCCAGGGCAAACATAAATAAATAAATGAATAGATAAAAAGACAAAAAGAAAGGATAAGAGAGATAAAAGAAGAAGGAGGCTCCGCTCTCCCCCCGTTCACCCTTCCCGAAAGAAGTGACAAGGGAGGGAAGGAGAACGGAGCCGGATGCCCCGGACCGAGTCACTGTGAGCACTCCGTGTTGCTGATGCTGGAGAGTACATTTGAGAATACAAGCTAATGATATGAGCTAACTTATACAATTCAAAGCCAAGACAAGTTGGTTAAAATACAGAGTGCGGTCCTATGTTTATGAAGATGGTAAAAGGTAAAATATAAAAATATAAAATAAAGTATAATATAAGTGGTTTGATGGTTGGAGAAGAGTAAATGGTGTGTGTATATATTTTTTTTTTTCTTTTTTTTCCACTATCAACGATACTACGCCAATGACTATGTACAATGAGTTATTTACACTGTTATTTATAATGAATATTTACACAAGTATTTACACAATATTTAAAAATACACATACTCTGGTTATTCATTTGGGCATATTGATGAAGTCCTATATTTACATCGACTCTCTTAGCATTAAGCTATCTTAAATCTAAGATTGGTTGTAAAGTACAAGCTGGTTGTCTGGTTAAAAAACTGGTTATTAATAGTGGTTAAAATGAAGTTGAGTGAGCTAACTTAAGTTGAATTGACCATTCGGCTAGTCCGGTGATTGAATGGTGAGTCGGAACTAATACCGTAATGATCCTAACAATTAACTATATACAGTTATTATCTATAATGTGCACACTGGTTATAAATAGTTTATACAATTGTTTATAGGATAAGGAAACTATATACTAGTTATTGATTTGAGCATATTGATAAAGTCCTATATTTACATTGACACTCTTAACTTAAAACTATCTTAAGTCTAGGATTGATTTTAAAGTACGGGCTGGTTATCTGATTATACTCCCTTCAGCCAATGATAATTATGTATAGGGGTTTTGACTAATGATTATTATTATTGTGATATACACATTGGTTATAAAAAGTTTTATACAATTGTTTATAAGATAGAAAAGGGTAACTAAAGATTGTAATTATCTATAATGTGCACACTGGTTATAAATAGTTTATACAATTGTTTATAAGATAAGGAAACTATATACTAGTTATTGATTTGAGTATATTGATAAAGTCCTATATTTACATTGACACTCTTAACTTAAAACTATCTTAAGTCTAGGATTGATTTTAAAGTACGAACTGGTTATCTGATTATACTCCCCTCAGCCAATGATAATTATGTATAGGGGTTCTGATTTATGATTATTATTGTTTGTAATAGACACACTGGTTATAAAAAGTTTTATACAATTGTTTATAAGATAAAAAAGGAGTAACTAAAGATTATAGTTATCTATAATATGCACATTGGTTATAAATAGTTTATACAGTTGTTTATAAGATAAGGAAACTATATTCTAGTTATTAATTTGGGCATATTGGTAAAGTCCTATATTTACATTGACACACTTAGCTTAAAACTGTCTTAAGCCTCGGATTGATTTTAAAGGGCGAGCTGGTTATATGATTATACAAGTGGTGATTGATAGATATCCACTAATTATGCCAAGTATAATACAATTGTTTATGGAATAAGAAAATATATTCTGGCCGTTCGTTTGGGCAAATTGATAAATCCTATATTATCAATGGCTCAGTTTGTTTAAAACTAACTTAAATCTAAATTTGATATTAATTATTAAATTCCAAGTTAATCAGTTGTCTTATTCTACTGTCGTAAATCAGCCAATGTACTGACGGCACCTACCAAGTGGGAAGTCGTTTGCACCCGCGATCTTTCGTCCGTCCCACTATAGTTACCGTTTTTCTTATTTTCTTAGATTGGGTCTCATATTGGTAATCTTGATTTGGGTTTTCGGAGCCAGCGTCGTAACAGGGGCCGGAGGCGTCCACCCCCGTACCGTCCACTTCGCAATGGGAGCCCGAGTGAGAAGGCTCGCAGCCGCCATCGCTTCCACCACAGAGCGAGGGGCGCGGCCCATAATCCCGCAGGAGGCCCGGCCCACCGGGCGAGAAGATGGTGAAGGCCTGGGGGATTTGTCGGGGGAATCTTCGGTCTCTTAGCTCAGGGGGCGGCCCTGGAGGCGTCCGCGGTCGGAACCGGTGCGTGCACTGATGCCATGGTCGACCAATGGGTAATTTCAAGTTCTAATTCCGTGCCAAGGCTGGAGCCAAGGCGCCCACCTTCATACCTTCTGCGTCGTTGTGGGGGCACGGGCGGGGGGACTCGCAGCCGTCCCCGCTTCCATCGCAAAGCAGGGGGCACCGCCCTTCATTCCGCAGGTGATCCGGCCCACCAAGCGAGGAGATGGTAGAGGCTTGGGGGGTTTGTCGGAAATGTCTTCTGTCCCCCAACTTAGGGGGCAGTCCAGGAGGCGTCTGCGGTCGAAATCGGTATGTTCGCGAGTGCCGTAGCCGACCGGCGAGCGCCGTGGATGGTGAATTCGGGGTTAACATATCGCTCATTATCCGCTGGTATTTCCCGATTATGGAGTATATCTCTCGTTGTATCGTTGTTTTCCTCTATATGTTATTCCGGTAGGCAGATTGATTTCTTTATGATCTTAACATTGATCCTAACATGTACGCGGAGCAGCAGTTGGCGCGCAATTCCTAACGGTTCTGATCCTAACCACACGTCGATGTTAGGATATGAAAATTTTCTACAAAATGGCGGCCGTGAAAACCAGGCGATAAAAATTGGAGCCCTACGTCTAGCCCGAGCCGATCACACCTCCCTGCGTCGCTGGTTCGCTCGCGTAGGGTCTCCCCGCTGCTTATATAATAGTTAGCAGTCCTATAATTCACTTAAAGCCACTCAAATCACTTAAACAGTTAGAGTTCCTGAGTTCTGAGCGGGACCGGAGCCCTAAGTGCCGCCTGAGTTGAGCACACTAGTCACGCTGATTGCCCACTCTCGTAGAGTCTCTCAATCTCTTGCATTGGGGTCCCCGTATATAAGTCCCCAAACACTCACGCAAAGTCACTCTCTTGGTTTAGAAAGTTCGGTCTTCAAGCACACAAAGAGAAGAGCCCTACATTTAGTTCAGTACATTGTTATGCACGGTTGCGCCGATATTGCGCAGTTGTTTGTTCCGCCATTTTGTGTTTCACTGCCGCCGTCGGGATCATAATTTGGTCAAAACAGTAAGAAATACTCGAAAAAATTTGCACTTTTCGCTGTTTTCCGATGCACTGAATGATTATAAAACGGGATTAATGAGAAACAATTGGATAAAATCACTTTGGACAGGCAATTGGATTTAAATATGCGGAGCGACCGGTAAACGCACCCACCTCGGCCGACGGCCAGAGAGGCAAAGGCGGCAAAAGGCGGTTAGGTTAGGTTAATAATAAATGAGTACACTACACACCACAGGCTTTTGCCCGTGCCTTTTTTTGTTAATTTATTTATTATTGTTTGTTAGTTATACATTGGCTTAAAATTAGTATGCTCCACATCATCTTGAGCTAATTGATATCCCCATTATTCTAATTATATATATATATGTTTGCCCTCCCGTTCGGCAGCCCAACGCCAAAGTGTGATTTGCTGCCGAGCGAGAGGGCAATTTACTTAATGTTATTGGGTATTTTTTTTTTTTATACTTTAAATTACTGTGTCTTAATGATAGGACATATATGATTGTGTTCCACTTTTGTGGTTACATTTTTTTTTTTTTTGTACTGTTGATGTGTTTAGTATAATTTGTTGGGATACCCCCCCCGCCCCGGTGGACGTAAACAGTGAGCTCCGTATATTTACTCATAAATAATAGTAAATCTTCGTTTAAAGTATAAAGAATAGTATTAAAGTAGAAAGTATTCTCGAAATGTTATGTTAAAATGTTCTCCACAAGATGAAATAGCTAATTGTCAAGAAATAAACAGTGAAAAGTGGCAGTGAATAATATGTGTTTAAAAATACAAAACAAAAAGAAAGGAATATAACATAATACTATAAAGTGACATATAAATTAATGTAAAACTTAAAACATTACCTAATAAGCATGTAAATGGTTTATTGAACAAAAATAAGATCGATGATTCGTTAATTTTATTTAAATGTGGAATCATTGTATGCCATTATAAACGCTATTTACATTGACTTTGGGGCGAGTTTGTTGTGCGAGCAGAGAATAAAACAAACATGTGAAACAGCTGTGTGTCAGCTGACTTTGTTTTATTGATAAAAACGACCACATACGGCTGTTTCCGAACCAGCCCGATGTCAATGTAGCAGAGTATATTACGCACATTTGTCACTGTAGTTTGGCACTCGATAGCGCAACGGATCTCAGCGACGCGTCTGTCTCTTGAGTCCTAAGTTCAAATCTAAGTTAGTGAGAGATTGTTTTATTTGCCTTTTTTTTTCTACTAACAAACATTAATACAGTACAAAATGTCGTCACAGTTAAAGGCGAAAGCAAGTAAAACGTCGAATAAGAAGTGTAACGTTTGTGGAAGAACCACTAAAAAGGGATCTATAGTATGCTGCACTTGTAAGAGAAATTTTGATTTAAATTGTGGCAATATTTCCGAAAAGCGATTTCATTGAATGACAACTGAAAATAAACAAAAGTGGAAATGCGATAGTTGTTTAGGAAAGAAAATGACCGATAACCAAAATAAGAAAACAAGTACACCTGTATCGCAACAAAAAAATCAAACTGAAAAAGATAATGAATTGACCGCTCATTTGACAAAAATATAACTATAAGGAAACCAAAATGTTTCCCGGGAAATACTCCATCTAGATCTAATCAAAGCATGCAGTACGATCAGGATAATTCATTTATGTCTATACACTCTCAAACGAATGCGACAAGTTTACCAGATTTATCAATCGGATATGACGAAGAAATGATTACATTAAAAGACATCATAAAAGATTTAAATATTAAATTGGAAAGTGCTCACTTAGAAATAGAAAACCTGAATTTAACAAACAATAAATTGAAAAATAAAATACAGGAAAAGGACAAGAAAATAAAAACATTAACTGACATTTGCTTAGGGAGCACAAATAAGAAAAAACGGAACACAATAGACTCCTTACATGAAATTCAAAATAAATCATATGAAATTTTAATGGAAGACAATGAAAAAACCTCAATAAAAAGCACATATGAAGAATTTCAAAATGAGTCAAATGTTGAGACACGCGGAAAGGAGTTTAACATCAGTAAAAAAACTTTCACTACTAACAATAAGAAGAAACTCCTGATATATGGATCACAGCAATGCGTCGGTCTAGCGACGGCACTAATAAGATCTCGCAGAGACACAAACCACGAACACTATGAGATCAGCGCGATGACGAAACCATTTGCATCAACTGACCAAATACTCCAATCAATAAATTATGAAAACTTAAATATTGACTCTAAGATTATCTTGTGTGTTGGAGAAAATGATAAAAACTTTCTTAAAACCACATCGGAATTATATTCTATTTTAAAAATGTTAAAGAATCATAATGTAATTGTCATTGAAATTTTGAATAATAGTTATTTAAATGAGAGAATGTTAAACTATAACATAAAAATGATTTGTGATTGTTTTGAAAATTGCTACTTCCTACAATTAAAGGGAGATATAAATTATCGTCCAAATATTAACATAATGCAAACAATTTGCAATAGGTTGAGCACTCTTATAGACACTATTGACTATGAAAATCAATACCTACTCACAAAATCCAACAGGGTTTTTTATAATTATACCAGAGAACAAATACGCAAATCAAATATAAATATAAGGACAAATAGGAAGTGTAATTCCTCGGCAAGGATGGTTCAGAGGTATATCTATGATTACTTTAAAAAAACAAGTGAGATTTATATACCAAAGGTAGAAAACAAAAATAACCTTGTAACAGATGAGCAGTTGTCAACGGGACATCAACCATCCATCCAACTACCGACTACCAACCAAACCTTAACAAATACAGAAGTAGAACAAAGAGAAAGAAGAGGACCAAATAAGTCGATTTTTCGTGAATAACTTTAACATTATATTCCAAAATATGCAAAGCATCTGTAACAAAACTCACCTCCTGGACGCATTATTAGAGGATAAACCTAATCTACATCTTATTTGTATATCAGAGTCTTGGTTAAACAAACAAAAGTTAAAATTACTTAAAATAGAGGGCTACACAGTTTGCTCCTCATTTTGTCGTGAAAATCACGAGGGTGGTGGTGTCTGTATGTTAATAAAGAACACGTTTGAATTTTATAACCGAATGGATATAACCTCGTTGTCTTTGGAAATGGTGTTTGAAATATGTGCTGTTGAAATACCTAAATTAAATCTAGTTATCATTAATATTTACAGGCCAAATATCAAAAGAGAAGTAGAATTATTTTACTCATGCCTTGAAAAATTACTTAACCTTATATTAAAGAAAGATTTGTGTAAAAATATTGTTATAGGGGGCGATTTTAACGTCGATTTCCTTACAGAAAACAATGAAAAATACCGACTTTCTAACTTATTTTTAAGGAATAATTTCCATCAAAAGATTAAAGAACCAACCAGAATTACACCTTATAGCTCTACATGCATAGATTTGCTATTTTTAAATTTTAAAATAAACGATAAAGATGTATCTGTTTGTGAATTTGGCTTCTCAGATCATAGTGGATTGTTAATTTCTTTACCTCACAATAACCAAAATCTTAAAAATTTTGTATTATACAAACGAATATTTAACGAACCTAACATAAATAAATTCAAAACAGAACTAAGACATATAAATTGGAAAGATAAACTCAAAGTTAATAAAAGTATAAACGAAAATTATAATATATTTAATGATGTAATGCAAAATGCTTTAAATAAATGTATACCAAAAATTAGAATTAACATAAAAACTACACAAGACAAAAAATATCTTACAAAAGGAATAAAAATATCATGCTGTCACAAAAGACACTTGAAGTTATTGGTATCTAAATCAAAATCTATTAACTTAGCAAAACACTATAAACAATACTGTAAAATATTGAGAAAAGCTATAAATATATCAAAAAAAAAATGTAATAAATCTAAATTTGAGAATTCGCATAATAAAACTAAATCTATGTGGCAAATCATAAATAATGAGACAAACAGAAATATGCGTAAAAATACGAATATCCAACTCAAAACAACAAATAAATGTATATTATCAGACCCTAAGGAGGTGGCGGATTCATTTAATACCTTTTTCGCTAAAATTGGAAATTCATATGCCCCACCAACTTCAAAAAATATAAAAATAACACAAAACATCGAAAATACTATATTCTTGAACCCAGTGGACACAACAGAGATGAAAAAAATTATAATGAAACTAAAAAACAAAAAATCTTACGGTATTGATGAAATTCCCCCGGTTTTGATTAAAAGTTGTGTCGATTTACTAACGGTCCCATATACTAAATTAGTAAATCAATCCATTTCAGAAGGTA